GAGGGAGAAACACAGAATCACCAAAAGTCTGAGGGAACCTCTGGAGCACATCCCACCCATCCCTCTGTCCAGAGTGGGGTCTGGGATGTGAAGGAGGTGCTGGAGTGGGGAAGGGTTTGTTGCCTCTTGCCTTGCTGTTAATCCCACATTTCTGGTTGAAATCTTGCTTGCTGTACTCTGTGATTTTTTTTGGTATGTACTTCTGGGCTTTTTCTCTTCCTCCTTCAGGTTTGGCTCCTTCCAGTCTGTGTCCCTACGTGAAACCTGAGCAACATTAAGGGCTTTCAGTGCTTTTCTTGGTTTTTCCTTAAAGACTTGGTAAATCTGCATGTCTTGTGTTCCATCTCTTCCTATTATTTAAGTGCAAAGCTGTGAATAACCTCGACTTTTCACTGTTTCAGGTTTCTTTTAGCATAACAGTTCCAGTTCATTTAGTTTTCTCATATTAAACAATGTAGGTCAGGGACTTTCTATTTTGCAATTTTGCTGTGTAGGCTCTAAAATTGTTTTGATCCAAGCCCATGTCAGTCCTGCAGGGATCAGGCAGCATTCTGAGCCCTAGTTGGTTTTTTTTTTTTTCCAAAATCACATCCTCAGGGTTGTTGTAGAAAAAGACAATACATAAATCTGGCTAAATAAGGCTTTGAGAATATGCCACTCCATAATGTTTCTTAAATTGAACTCGGTAATTTGCTGCTGAGGTGCTAAAATTGTGAAATATTTAGTGATTATTATTTTTTGTGTGTAGTTGTTCAGTCAAATCTCTCGCTGTTCACTTCCAGGTGATTGGGATAGTTACAATCCATCTTCGTCAAATGTAATATATGAAGAACAGTCACCATTATCTTCATCTTCCCATTCTGCTTCCCCATCTGAAGTGTGTTATTTACCAGTACCAGGAGAAGCTTTAACCAGAGTTCAGCTGTCTGAGGAACTGGAACAAGCAGAGAACACTGTGCCTGACAAGATAAGCACTTTAACTGAAAACCAGAGTGAGAGGAAGCCTCAGTCTTCTCCCCAGAGAACAAAGAACAGATGGGAATGTCCCTCCAGCCCTGGGTTTGGAATCACTAAAGGTAGTTTGGAAGCAGGGACCAGGAGAGACAGATCTGCCAGTCCAGCAAAGCCGGGGGCTGCTGAGGGACACCCTCCCAGGGGATTCCACAGCCCCAGGAAAGGGGATCCTGAAAAGAACAATCTCTCACATCAACCTGGCAGATCCAGAGGCAGTGAGAGTAAAACCACAGAAATAGGAATGAACAATAGTGACAAAAAAGAGTATTCCAGTGGAAATCAAGGAAGGTCAGCCAGTCCCCACAGGCACCTCGGGAAGCCGGGAAGTGCAGAAACGGTGGGAAGGAGCCAGGGCAGAACTGGGGGTGTGGAGCAGTTGAAAGGTGGGATTGGTAAACCAGGAGTCAGCAGGAAAGACACGAAGCAGAAAACTGCAGGAAGGATGGAAGGGTGGTCTGCAGAGAGACACTACCCAGCGTTTGAGGGGAACAACCTTCCCTTGAGGGACTGCAGGAGAAACGCCTCCGAGGACGATTTATTAACCAAGTCCAGCTCTGGAGAGCCAAGTTCCAGCAGGTTCAAAACCTCCAGCCTGTCCAACATCCCACTGCTTTCCATGGAGAAACAAAGGAGGGGGGAACCACAGGAGACTGTCACGCTGAACAGGCACCACGGAGGGAGACACGTGGAGCTGCCCCATGAAACCAAAGATGGAACTTCCCACCCCGAGGGTTCTCCAGTGAGGAAAGTCCCGATAACTCCCGGGCCGTGGAGGGTCCCCACTAAGGGCACCCCAGCAGCAGGAGTGGCTGGAAAACGGGTGTGACTGACTGACACTGTTTTTTTTAGAACATGTTTCAACCAGTTTTCCAATAAGGGTCATTTAAAGCATTGGTTCTTTTCACACAGTTGTCTTTTTTGTTTTGTTTTGTTTCAGAAACTGGTTGGAAGGGGGGGAAAGGGTTTGATTTGTTCTTAAATTATCTAAGCTGCATGAAGGACCTTTTGGATGCTTCAGTGAAACTCTGCCATGAGCTGCTGTCCCCGTGTCCCCGTGCAGGCCCTTGTCTGCTGCTCCCAACGTTGCACTGCTGCGGCTTCTCCGAGTGTTGTGAGGTCTGAACAAAGTTATTTAATGCCTCTGTTGCCAATGTGATCCTGACTCACTTCCTGCTCTTGTGCCAAGTTTATCTACTGTATCCAGTCAATCTAATCCTCCCCCCGTGGATTCCAGTCACAGACAAGGCAGGTTTGGGCTGAGGTGGGTGTTTTCTCTGAGCGTGGTGCATGTTTGCGTCAGGAAACCCACGTGTTCTTGCTGGGCCAGGAAGGACATGGGCGAGTTGGTTCTGTCAGTTCCAGGGCAGCAAACGAGCCACTGATGCTGCTCAGTTGATGTGTTCCCTGGGATTTTTATACCCCAGACCAAACCCTGTCGATAAAAATGGTATTTGATATAATTTTGCGTTTTCTGAACGCAGCAGAATTGCTTTATTTCCTCGATTCGTAGGGATTTGGTTTGCAAACATCTTGTGTGAGGAGAGAAAATTCTGGGTTCTGTTAAATAACATAATTCCTTTGGTTTCACTCGTGGCACCACGAAATCCTCAGCCTTGGTGTGGAGCTGATGCTGAAGTCCCATCTTTAATTAATTAATGCTAGTTAGGAATTGGATTTTTTTCCCTCTGTAGAGGTAACAACTGACCTTAGACAGACCCAGCTGCCAGAGCAGCCTCGTCAGTGAAGTTTTTGCCTGTGTATATTAGAACTCTCCCATATTTACATGGAATGTGTGATCAGGGAGTGTTGATGACATAGAGGGTACAGGAGGCTCGCTGTCCGTGGTTTGGGCTGGCAGAGACATTTTAAAGAGGGATGTGACCACCAGAACCTCCTGACACCTCAGTCCCAAAGCTGTGAGAACAGCAGAAGCTGAAGGGGTTTATTTTATTCATAGTTTTAGTGATGATTTCCTGACATGTTTAGGTTTTTAATGGTAAAAGGAGCCCCTTGGTCCAGTTTGCAGAAGGAGGAGTAAAGGATGGAGCTTTACTTACTCAAAACTCAAACTGAGGGGATTTGCTCTTGGAAATGGAACGAGCAAATACCTCCTTTTGGCTTTGAAACATGGGATGTTTTAAAAGGCTGATGAAGCACAGTGAGGCAGTTCTGAGTGGAATTCTTCCCAAGCACAGCTGACTGCTCAGCCAGCTTTTCCACAAAGACTTTGGGAATTCAAAAGGCTTTAGAGCAGCTCTGAACTGGGCTCTGCTGCTCAACCCCGGGCGATCCATCGAGGTTTGCTGTGTAGCATAACACGTACAAATACTCCCTGGGTGGAGTATGACTGTGAAATATTTAATACTCTGAAGTAGCCTGTGTAGATATCTCCCCTGTGCCCTTCCCCAGAGGGTGGTTTATGTTGAGCTGTGTGCACTCACCCTGACCACTGAGTACAGTGACAGATCCAGACCTTTAATTCCAGATGAATTAAGTAGCACCACTGAAATGATTCCCCTGCCATCAACTCCCCTCGATTTTTTCTATATGTTACTGTGATAATGTCTTACCTGTGTGTGATTTCTCCTTCCATAGACCTTGTATCTGTACTTCCTGTATCAGACTTAGCCATGTGGCCTTGGAATGCTAAGCAATGTATGGATGTACTGGGTGTAAATGTTTATATATTGTACAGCACCTTTATACAGACTTCTGAGGTTCTGACTAGAGAGAGACCTGTAAATCGCTCATTATTTTTTATATAGATATTAAAAACAAACTCCAGTTCGTGGCCTGTTGGTTCTGCACTGTATAAACAAGGTTCTTGGCTGGCTTTCAGGGGTGTGACCCCAGGTTTTACCCACAAACATGCTGCTCCTCTGGAAAACAAATGCAATTTATTCTTGGAATTTTCCTTGACACTCTCCCCCCCCTCCATTCAAACAGCAAATGCTCGACAAAGGTGGTATAAAAATCATCAGGTCCTGTAGAAACAGTGGGTAATGATGAAATACTTGTCCTGTAGGTTTATTTGTACATTTTGCTATATAAAATTGTCATCTCCTTTTACATCTCACAACTTTTCCTTGTACAGAAAATAGCTGTAAACAATTTACTACCAAAAATGCTTCTGCCATCTTACCCTCCTGTGAAAGAATGAAGCTCTGAAAAGTTCCTCAGTTTTTGCTCTTTTCATTACTAATAAATAGAAGCTGATAGAGCCAGTGAAGGGAAATGTAGCAGAAGCTTTAAAACGTTTTCTTTCTCTTCTCTGCCCTTTCTAAACACTAACCTGAGGAGGTCTTTGCCAGAGCTGTTCTCAGGCAGGACAGGATGGAGTGGATTGTTCCAGGGAACAGACCTGGCAAAATGTTCTACGGCTCATAAACACTTTCCCTGTAGTATTTGTGGAGAGGTTTTTCTCCTGTAATTGATGTTTTCAGAAAAATACTCGTCATTTCTTCGCAGCAGCCCCAGCCTAAGCCAACAGCAGGACTCTGGTATTGCTGGAGTGGCAGCAGGGAGGGCTGGAATTCACATCCTGAGCTGGAATTCACATCCTGCAGTGGTTCAGGACAGAGGCAAAGCCTCAAGCACGTGGAGCTTTTAAGGATTGAGACTCCTCAGCACAGCCAGACAAGTGCAGCTAAGGATGATTGAGCTGAAATATTCCCGTGTAGCTCCAGGAAGGCTGACTGGGATGGGAGGGCTGACTCCCTCCTTGTCACATCCCAGGATTCAGGTTTTGCAGAAAGGTGGCACCAGTCAGAGCCATTGGTGTCCCTCCAGCTGCAGCTCTTGTATGGCTTCAGGGTTTGATGTCCCACACCAGTTCCTGCTGGTTTCAGTGCCAGCTGCCAGGATTTGGCCCCATTAATGCAGTTTTTCTGTGTGCATGCCATGGGATGACATCACTGGTGAGACCAGTTGGTTCTGGGTGGTGTAGAACAGTAAAGCAGAAAGAAAACTTCTGATAACACTGAGAATCTGTTTGAAAGCTGTAATTACAGATTTCCATCAGTTTTCTGCTTTCTGCCAACACCTGAGGTTCTCTCCTCTCTGGTGGAGATGCCCAGGGCTGATGTTCTGTCAGTTCATGGTTTAATTTTCCATAACTGCAAAGAGACAGAGAGTGAGTTTGGGTCTGACAGCCTTAGATCTGCATGTTCTACATCCACAGGTGAGACTCTGTCTCCCTTCCCCATCCTGCTCTGCTCAGTGAGCTCCAGCAGGATGAGCCACAGGAGGACTGGGATAAAGGGAAGGAACTCTGGATTTAACAGCCTGACCTGAATACAAATGAAACTGGAGTCAGCCCTGTCCTTCCCCTCAAAACTGGCTCAGGGAGGTGGGGACTCACCCAGCACATTCTGGTCTCTGAATTACCAGTGCAAAGCTTTCTGCTCAGGCAGGAGGAGTTTGGGGGGCCCCCAGAGCTGTTGCTTTTGGTTTGTACAGGACACTTACTCTGATATTGAACCCTAGAAGGTCACTGATAACTCCTGAGACAGCAGAGAGGATGACAACCCGTGTGATGTTGTAGATCAGGGGGTTCATGGTCAGTCCATACAGCCTGAAGGGACTATCCAGTTCCTGCAGTGGAAGGACAAGGAAAAGAGTCCATTAACATTCACCAATAGCAAAGCAATTCATCCTCTGACTTTCAGCTTAACACTGGCACTCCAACAGACTGTGCTGCCTCTGTGTCCTTTCTCAAATGTATGTACAGGAATTCCCACTCTGTTTTAGAGATGTTTCCTGCTGAATCCACAGTCTGTTCACAGCACTAATTAACCACAGTGGTCTTGTATTGCTCCATCTCATGTCACAGCTGTAGGAGCACAGAAAAACTCCCTTTGTGAGTGAGAGCCAGCTCTTACCTAATCAAAAGCCACATGGTATTGCCTTTAGGCACCAATTCCATAAAACTGAGCTGTTCAGAGTATCTTACCTTCAGCAGCTTTGTGGACAGTTTCAGAACATTGTTTACCAGAGACAGCTGCTCCTTCTTGTTTGGCTTCTTCTCCATCTTCAGGTACAAGTTTATCTGTGACAGACACCACAGACCAGGTGTTGATATCCCAGCACCAGCCCCCCAGTGATTCATTACTAAGGGAAACTAGAGCCATTTTTGCAGTCTGCTGTCACTCCTGAAGAAGTGAATTTAGCCCTGATAACAGCATTCTTTTTCCAATTGTTTTGGCTAACCCAGAGACAAAAACCATCCAGAACTTTAGAATCTGAGTCTGTTCCAACATCCCCAGCTCACCCCTGCCCTGCTGTACAGTGCTTTGTTGCCTTCTGGCCAACACAGGGGAGGACTTCTAAATTTTGAAAGTTTGATTCTAGTGTTTAAGCTGGTTTCAAATACAGTCATTATATACAAAGGCAAAGGGAGAACAAGCTAAATGGAGTCACCTGCTCAGTGAGCAAGATGGAAATGTTACTGTATTTCTTGTTGGTTTCAGAGCCCAGAGATGCCAGACGTAGTAAAAAGAGAAGCAGTGCTGCCTCCCACATCAGGAACTCCCAGTTGTAAGCTGCATTTAGGAAGGTTTTGTGGCCCTTAAGAACCTGTATTGGGGGGAAAAAAAAGCACCAATAACAAGTCAATAACAAGTTGCCTGTTCTTGGGAGAAGTGCACAAGCACTGCCCTTGCTCCTCCTCTGCCCAGCCCTCTGTGCTCTCCAGCACTGGCAGTTCCTCCACGAAGTGTAAATCATTCCTGTGATGAGGTCACAGTAAAAGGTCTTGTTTCTAACCTGGCTTTAGCTTGGAATTGATTTTTTCTGTCTGCTCAGAAAGGGAAAATTGTTCTTTCTCTTCCCTCTTTCTGACCAAATAACAGGGAATAAAGTGCCTTTCCCTGTCCCACTGGCAGCCTCAGATCCCCCCCAGCCAGAGGGAGCTGCTCCTGCCTTTCCCAGTATGGACTCACTGGGACTAACACAGCAGGACTGGGATTGTCATTCCTTCCTCTGGAAACCTGTGGCTTACAAAAACAGTCACAGCAGTGAGAGTATCTACAAACCATCAACCTCAGTGCTACCAGAGCTGCAGCCTCAGATCAGGAACCTGCCTGAACACTGGCCAAGAAATGGCTCCAGCATTAGCACTGCTGCCTGCAACAGCTTTAGGGAAGGTTAGAAGGTGTAACTAATAGTTCTTGAGCTGCTTTTCCACACAGTGGTTACAGAGGATGCTGCAATCAACCCTCTGGAATAAAATGTCCTGTGAACATTTGAGGTCCTTGGGCAGAGTCTCCTCTCCTTTGTGCCCAAATGCCCATGTCCTGAAGTTTTCCTGATGATTATAAAACTCGAGATTTTCCCATGCAAGCACAGAATGAATCTCTACTTCCAACTAAAGATTACAAAGCTTTTAAAAAATGCAACATTCTCTACATTACTTTGGGGTCAAACAGCTCCAGGTCAAAAGCTCTTTGTATGCTGGTGAAAGAAAAGCCTCCAGCACTTGGAGAGATCTTCCCCTATTTTAAAAACCAGAAAGGTTAAAATCTCACCTGGGCACAGCATATAAAAGCAATTGAAAGAGCCAGCAAAAAGACTGAGGACACAACAACATCCACAGACCTCTGGGGGCCTCGTCTCTGTGGAAACAAGGACACAGGGTCAGGGCTGAGGTTGGGATGTGGAGCTGTGAAGCCAAAACTCACCACAAAAAGCTGTAACTGTTACACCCTCTGTAATCACCAAACCCTGGATCAGAACTCACCTTCAGATAGGAGCGAAGGGATAACCAGATCTTGATGTTCTCCACCTTCTTGAGCCTGAAGTGAGGAATTTCGTATTTCCTGGCTTTCCGAGCAGATGTGATGTGACTGAAAAGCTTGGCAAACAAAAACCTCTGCAGCCAAAAACAAAACATACACACATATAAATTAGTTTAAAACAAATCAGATTGCCTGGGATTGTTAGGGGTGCCTGGCAGAAAGGGTGACTGGGGAAGCCCCACATGAGACCTGGGTGCTTGACCTCTCTGGGAAATGGCAGCAGCTGTTTTTATGGAATCCCAGAATGGTTTGGGTTGGAAGGGACCTTAAAGCTCATCCACAACCCCCTGCCATGGGCAGGGACACCTTCTACTAGACCAGGTTGCTTCAAGCCCTGTCCAACCTGGCCTTGGGAGACTTCCAAGGATGGGGCAGCCAGAGCTTCTCTGGGCACAGAGAGGGGACAGGGTGAGACCTTGGGGACAGGTGAGAGGGGGGTACAGGGGTCAGATTACACACTGGCAGGTGTAATCTGTGACTGATCAATAGGAGCCTTCCCAGACTCCCCTCCCTGACCTTGGTTCCCTCACCAGCTCTGCCCCCTCAGCTGGCTGAGACCTGCTTGTCTTTGCAGGAGCAGGGGGGGTTTGATCCCCGCCCCAGGCTCAGGGAAGGCACCAGGACCTTCAAACCCACCTGTTTGTAGGTTCTCTCAGCAACACACATCATGAAGAAAAACATCCAGGTTAAGCACAGCCTTTCCAGGAAGTTGATGGCAGACAGGACAATGACAGGGGCGCTGGCAGGGGCTCCACAGAAGATGTACAAGAGCTCCTTGAGAGAAATGGAGCAGAGCTGCTCCAGGTTATCCAAGCGGAAGAGCCTGTAGAGGAATGGCAGGAATGCCAATCCGATGGTGATGATGTTTCCCAGCATTTGATACCCCACTCCTTGCTGGTAGGCATTCACCTGGCAAGCAGGAACAAAAATGGGATGATTACCTGGGTTTTGCATCAAGGAAAAGGCCTGTTGTTGTGGCAGCAGCCACTCAGCCAAGCAGTCAGTTCCCCTTCCCTTCCCAGGACAGAGCCTAAAATAATCCCACCTATTTCAGTCCAAAGCCAACAACAACCAGCCAATAAATAATCAAACCCCCACCCTCAGCACACTGCAGAGAAAACCAGCAATCATCAGCTGATTAGTCTTCAACAGATCTCAAAAACTGGGGTTTAGGCAAATTTTAGGAACAACTGTCTTTGCAGCTGGGGAGGGCCCAGTTTCGTACTGCACCTGATACTTGCACATGTAACCATTTCCAGGGGCTTTGGTGGCTGAGTTCTGAAGTGTGAGGGAGAGGCTGCAGTGCCACACCCCCCTTACCCTGCTCATGATAATCCCACTGATCTCCAGCACAGACATGTCCACCTTCTTGCAGTCGTTCCCCTCCCAGATCAGAGCACTCACTTTGGCAGATGCTGGGCTGGTGTTCTGCAGCCAGAACAAATGGTTCTATAACAGAGAGAAATGCAAAAGGTGGGTTTTCTCCTTCTTTCCTCGTAGAGATTGAGGAGGGATTCCAAATTTGGGGCATACCTGAGGGATAAATCATTGTCTTTGGCTGACAGGCTTTGTGTGCTGAGTCTGTTAAAGATATTTATACCTGCTTCACCCTCACTGTAACAGTATCTTAAAATTTCTAAACCAAGGGGAAATTTTTTGTTATTTATATTTGGAAAAAAATAAATAAGAGTAATTCAGAAGACAAAAAGTCCTCATGGAAAGAAAGGACCTGTCAGCTGAAAACTCACCAAGAAAAAAGAAGGAAACAATGAAATACTTTGCTTGGGATGAGATAATACCAGTGGGGAGGAGGGAGTCAATCATGATACTGTTTAGATTGTTCCAGACTTCCACGTGATTCTGGTTGACAGAATGGTCTCACCCAGCTTTTGGGTTGCTCAGGGAGGGACAGGGGAAAGTATGATGCCTTAAGCCCCTAATGGGTTTTTATTTTTTAGTATTTGTAAGACTTTTAAGTTTTATAAATAGGTTTGAAAAGCAGAAACCTTCCCTTCTTTGTCCCTTGTCCCTTTCCCTTTCCCTGTAGCACCCTTGTTTACACATTCCTTAACCCTCTTCCCCCATTCTATGCTCCCTGTATCAGCCCTACTCCTGAATCCAATAGAAATGTTTAGTCTTTTGTCAAGGCAAGGCCTAGACAGTTGACAGAACAGCATATCTGGGCCTAAACCACAGAATGAAGTCAAGAATTAGGTAACTATGTACCCTCTGTGCTCTGATGATGATGAAGATGGGATGAATGGAGGGTCCCGAAATGCACCCCAGACCCATTTTAAGGGGGTGGTCCAGGGAAAAGGCCACAGGGTGGATACATCTGGGATTGGATGGATGGTGTTATAAAATGTAACCTCTCGGGCACAGGGGCGCGTCTTGTAACATCTTCTGCCTTGGCAAATAAACCCTTTCTTATCTCTCCCCTAATTAACTGCTCCGGAGATTTTTTCAGCACCTAAATCCCACGGCAACAGTATTCTCAGCTACTGGATGCACGTGAACCAACCTGCTGGAAAACATCCTCCTTGGGGTCCCTGCGGGGGTCCCTGGCGGTGTCCTCGCTGTCGCTGGTGCAGGAGGAGCGGCACTCGGGGCCGTGCAGGAGATCATCCCACAGCATGTCCTCGGTCTCCGAGTCCTGCCGGGTGCTCTCCGAGTCCCGCCGGCTCACGCTGCAGCTCCGGGACCCCACGTCAAGGCAGGGCCTCGAGTCCTTCAGAGAGCAGCAAAATCTACACGGCACAGCCCCACACTCGCTTCGTAAAACCTCCTCCTCCTCCTCCCCCGGAATCAGCTTCCCAAGGGAATCAGAATTCCCGGGTTCACCCACCCGATGGAAGTGGTTTAAGACAGTGTTATTCAGGGATAGTTTTGGGAAGAAGCATTTCTACATCAGAGCTCACACAGACCCCATTAGTTCCTCACCTTTCTTCTTTACAACTTTACAAAATAAAAGCTGACTTACTCCTTCAAATGTAAAACTTTTCTGCCTGTTCCATAGTCTAAGATTTCTATTTTAATTTATAGATTTTCATATTTATAATCTGTTATTCACATATTTTATTTCTGTTTTATTTTCAGGGTGGGGGAAACAGCAGAGGCAAAACCAAAGTAATGAAGTGAATGGGTATATATCACAGAATAGATTTATTCCTTCATTATAGGAAATGGACTCGATGATCCTTGTGGGTCTCTTTCAATTCAGAACATCCTATGATTTTAAAATCAAAATTTATTAGCTTAAAAGCTACAGCACAGCACTGCCTCCCAACCACAAGAGCAATTGCAGCAATTCCAACAGGAGGAAACAGAGGCAGCTCAGAGCTGCCAACAGAGTTATTTGTTTGATTGTGTTTGTTTAACAAAGCAGCACAGTTCTGAACAATGTTTACAAAGCTGCCAATGAACAGGGAGGGAGGGAAGTCACACCTTGTACCTGAAAATTCAGAAGCACAAACATTTAATAACAGTCTGTTCAGATGGAGGGGGGTTGGGAGGAGATGAGCTCTAAGGTCCCTTCCAACCCAACTCATTCCATGATTTTGTGACAGGAAGGATGTCCCTGCACTGGCCAGGCCCGGGAAAGCTCCCTCTCTTCACTTTATGACCATACCTGAACATACAACGTAGATTCCAGTTCCGATTCCACGACACTGTCAGAGTCTCTGGCTCCTTTCAGGGCTTGCTTGACCTGCTGAAACCAAAGGAAAAACCAGCTCATTGTCCACAGCAAAATAAAGTGTGGGAAATGGCACAAATTCCACGTGGGTACCTGCGAGACAGCCTGGTTCAGAGAAGGCAGAGGCCTCTTCTTCTCCTCGTAGCTGTTGTCACTGGAGGCCCCTTCCATGCTCCGGCGTAACAGGACCCTTTGTGCCACGTCCTCCTCGCTCGACAGCTCGTCCGAAATGCCATCCCTGGTGGTGCCTTCATCCTGGAAAGGCACAGCCAAAGCCAGGCTGAGGCACCACAGAGGGCCAGCCTGAGTCACAACGATGGCTCAAGGCCACAGCTTTGCTCCCCTGGCACACACAGCCAGCCCTCACTCCTGCAAAGGCAGGGGATCCCCACAGGGCACACTCGGCATCACAGAGACTTCAGAGATTTTAACTTTTCCCCCCCCGTCCCTGTCTTGCCCCAGATATAGTGAGAGGGAATTTTGGGTGGATGGAGGTGGATTTGGGGCAAGGGCAGGAAGAGGAGGAGGCAGCAGCAGCCCTTGGCTGTGTCTTACATCTGTTCTCGTGGGATGAAGGCTGCTGGTGGCTCAGAGACCTGGAAATCTGGGCTGTGTCCCTACACAGAGCTCTGCCCCTCTCCAAATGCCTTCACAGAGAGGAGCTGGGATGGCACAGTATGACAGAATTCTGCACAGATTCTATTCCAAGTTCCTTATGTGGGAGTTAACACACCACCAACCCAGAAGAGTTCAAAAGTGACTCCTGGAATCTCTGTGTTTCAGAGATTTCAACAGAGATCATGATCCTTTAGCTCTTTCTCTCTCCCCAAGGGCTGTTTCAGTTTCTCCTGCCTCCCCTCTGCAAGGATATTGTGGGCAACTGTTTGCAAGGCCACTTACTTTACAGAACTGCCTTTGAAAATTGCCAATTTGTTTATTTTTAATCGTTATCAGCACTCTCCCTCAACTGAACATCTTGGGATCAGAAGTCTCAACAATTAAATGAACACAGGCATTTCCAGGACTGTCTGTGTGTGATGTACTTGGCCAAGCAACCTGGTCTAGTGGAAGGGGTCCCTGCCCAGGGCAGGGGGTGGAATGAGCTGAGCTTTAAGGTCCCTTCCAACCCAAACCAGTCTGGGATTCTACCCTGATTCTATGAAAAGATGCTGACAGCAAAGCACCAGCACCATGTCAGCTGGTGAATGAGAGGCAGAAAGGGGTTTTAGTCCCCTAAAGATTAGCAGAAGGAGGGAGCATCTTGTGTTAGATCAAACCATACAGTGAAGTACCAACACACTTCTGGGCACACAGAGAATACACTGAGACTGTGACTCCAGAGGGGTTTCCTCTGGCAGTACCTGCTGGCTCTTCTCCCCGTCAGAAAGTTTACTTTTCTCTTTGGAGTGCAGCAGCCTGTGCTCAGATCTGGCCTGCCTGGGTTTAATGCCATCACTCACAACACTCACACCACTCTCTGTCTCGGTCCCTTTCTCAGCTACCAACTTCACTCTTCTGTTCCTATGAGAGAAAACACAATAAAACACTTTTATGTCAGAGAAAAACTCTTTGGAGTAAAACATCTTTCACTTGCCATACAGGTGCAGCATCAAACAAGATACCTGAGGGATAAATCATTGTCTTGGCTGACAGGCTTTGTGTGCTGAGTCTGTTAAAGATATTTATACCTGCTTCACCCTCACTTTAACAATATCTTAAAACTTCTAAACCAAGGGGAAATTTTTCATTATTTGTATTTTGAAAAAAATAAATAAGAGCAATTCAGAAGACAAAAAGTCCTCATGAAAAGAAAGGACTTGTCAGCTGAAAACTCACCAAGAAACTCACCTAGGAAAAAAAGAAGGAAACAATGAAATATTATCCCATACAATCTCTCCTCCTTTTCCTTGAGTTATTTTTAGAAAAGGAAGGTGGCAAAGTGAGACAACTGTCCAAGCAACTTAAACCAGAAGACAGAATTGCTTCTGGAAATGAGGTAAAACAGCAATATCATTTCAGCACAAAATCGAATAAAGTCACTTATCTGATAAATAAAAATAAGCTCCACCACGGTCTGCATCTCATCTAATGCTTGGTTTCACATGATCTCATTTTACATGATCTAATAAGAACATTCTAAATATTCCTACAGTAGGAGGGTTGCTCTAATTCAGGATAAGCCAGCTGGCAGGCTGTGGGGCTGGCAGTGACAGCACACTTTGTGTCTTCACTTCCCAGGTCTCACATTGGCCCCACAAACCCAGCAGGGATCACATACCTCCTTTGGAAAAGCAGGCTGGATAAATTGGTAAGGACTGATGCAGAGCCAGACTGCTCTTCCTTGCTGCTTCTGTCAGAAGACCAACTGTTCCCATCCACGCCCACAGATTTGCGTAATTTCCTGATTTTTAAGAAAAGGACAATTAAATTTGTACAACACACATGACTTTCTGGTGTTTCTTAAAATATCTGAATGAGATTTGAACAGCTTTCTAGATGCTATTTTTCTTAAGTCGTGCAGACTAAAGAAACAGACAAGTTTTATTTGGATTAGACAAATTTTATAATTTAATTTAATTATTAATTTATCTAATTTTCCTTTAATTTTAGAATAATTTCTAGATAATAATTTATAATTACAATAATTTGTGCATGCTAATTTATAGCAATAATTTACAAATTTATAATATATAATATTTACAATTTATTATCATGATATTCCAATTATAATTACTATTAATATAATAATATAAATAATGTAATATATTGCTTTGTTTACTAATCTATTAATACCATATTAATTTAGTAATATATTATAGTAATATAATTATATATATTATATATAGTTATATTATATATAGTTATATATAACTATATTATATATAGTTATATTATAATTATATTATATATAGTTATATTATAACTATATTATATATAGTTATAATTGATATAATTAATATAATTATAATATTATTTCTAATTTATACTTAATATTGATATATTATATTTGTAATTTATACATTATTTGTAATTTATAATAATTTATAGTTAACTTTACAATAATTTTCTAATAACTTTGCCATTTTAATTTATAATAATTTATCATTAATTTCACAATAATTTTCTATTGTCTTTATGATTTTAACTTCAATTTCATTTTATACTAATTTTATTAATACCTCTATAACCACTTTACCATTCATTTATTTAATTTAATTTTATTATTCAATATAAGTTTTATTTGGATTAACAGAATGTGGATGAACAGGACATCACCAGGAAAGGTTCAACAGGCAAAACGTGGAGGAAATCTTTGCTGCAGCAATCCAGGGGAGCCAAAACTCAACCCAGCTGCCCCCTGCTGTCCCCTGGCCCCGGTGCCACCCCCGGTCCCTCACCTGCGGCGCCGGCTCAGCCCGTTGCTCCCGGCAGGTCTGTTCACCTGCGTGGACACGATCTGGCAGTGAACTGTCCCCAGCAGCAGCATGAGGCACAGGGGGCCCATCACCTCGCTGGCACTCACCGCGGGCACCAGGAGGTACAGCACCACCGCCACCACTGGGGAGGAGCAAAGGGCCCCAGTCAGAGGAGCTTTAAGGGCCCCTCCGACCCAAAGCAGCCTGGGATTCTACTCCAGGAAAAGCTGCTGACAGCAAAGCACCAGCACTGTGAGGCAGAAAGGGGTTTTAGGTTCCCTTAATGCAGGTAAAGATGAGCACCTTGTGATCAAACCATACAGTTGTGACCCAGCACGACCCAGTTCTTCTGTCTTAACTATTTACTTTTACCCTGCTTTATTTTGTAATTATTATTTAATTTCTGCAAATGTTGGTGCCACACGTCTTGAAATGTACATTAAGTAGGTTGCAGATATGATCCTTATGCTTTAACTTAGAGACTACAAAATCCCTAAGGTTGGAAAAGCCCTTGGAGACCAGAGTCCAACCGTTCCCACAGCACTGCCAGGTCCACCCCTACCCCATGTCCCCAATCCACACATTTTTTGGCATCACATTCCTTGCAGAACAAGGATTATGGCATGGCCTTCTCCCACCCTCACCTTGCATAACATAGAGCACCAGGAGCCACGTAAAAATCCTCTGGGAAGTGACCTGTATCCACCACTGACTGAACAAGGGGAAAAACACAACTCTCACAATCCCCTTCCGCGTTAGCGACGTCCAGGGAATTTCAGGCTTGGCTTTGGCAAAGGTAGAGCCTGGAATTAAAGGGAAAACAATCCATCATTAATTGTGAATCACAAGAGTCCCCTCACTGATGAGTTCCCCTTTGGGCAGCCCAGTTTCAGGCACCTGCCTGAGCTCCAGAGCCCCAACAGGCACAGCTAAAGCAGCCTCTTGTCTGATCTCAGGGCACTGGCTCTGCCCCTTCCCTGCCCACCCAAACCTGCTCCCACCACCACCCACTTTTGGTGAAGCCCCCCTGAATTCCTCCTGTCTCTGCTCTCAGGATTTGAACCCCCAGGGCTCACAGGCAGGGGCACCCCTGGAAGCACAGGAAGGTTCTGCTTCCCCTGCCCTGCCCCAAGCCCCAGAATCATGGAATATCCTGAGCTGGGAGGGACGCACAGGGATCACCCAGTCCAGCTCCTGGCCCTGCACAGGACACCCCAAAATCCCATCCTGTCCCTCAGAGCGTTGTCCAAACACTCCTTGAGCTCTGGCAGCCTTGGGGCTGTGCCCACTGCCCTGGGGAGTCTCTTCAGTGCCCAACCACCCTCTGAGGGAAGAACCTTTTCCTGATACCCAACCTAACCCTGCCCTGGCACAGCTCCAGCCGTCCCCTCGGTGCCCCAAAGCCGGGTCTCCACACCGGGCCCCGCTCACCGCTGATCAGATCCACGTCGATGAGGTCGGGCTGGATGTGCCCCTTCTTCTTCGGCTTGTTCTTGAAGCCCTGTGGGGCGGGACACACGGCCGGCTCAGCGGCGAGGGGCCCGGCCCTTACCCACCCCCCGCCCCCGCCGCCGGTACCTTCATCTGTGTCTGCTCCACGGCCTTCTCCCATATCTGCTGGTCGTAGGCCCCGATCTGCGGGGAGAGGAGGCTGAGACCACGGCCGGGCCCGCGCCCGCCCGCGCCGCGCCGCACTCACCTTCTTCTGGTACCATGAAATGGCATCGCGACAGGCCATGGGGGGCGGCGGGACCGGCCCTGGCCCGGCACCGACCCCCGGGACCGACCCCGGCCCCGTTACCCTGGAAACCACCCGGCGCTCGACTCGCTCCGCCTGCTGCCCCCTCCCGCCCAGGCAGCGCCAGCCGAGCGCCGAGCGCCACCCCCCCCCCCCCCCCCCCCCCCCCCTCCCCTTCCAAACCCGCGGAGGAAAAAAGCGCCTCAGGCGGGTTTTTAAAGGACAAAATCAGACTTTTTGTTTATTAAAAAAATACTTTACAGGAAAAAAATTTCTATGCATTCCGCCGGACTATTTTACAAAGAAATAGCTTAACAGTTTGACACTGGTGTATACAGTCAGCTACCGACGGCGCGGGGGGGCCGCGGGGCCGCACACGCGCCAAGGGCAATAAATACAACTAAGGCCGCACAAAGCAAACAGTCGTCCAGGCAATTGTACACGTCCTCTGCAGGCAGGGACCTCGGATAAATTAAAACCACAGAAAAAAAAAAAAAATCATCATCGTAGCTGCCAATCAAATCAAATGAAATCACCAAACAGCAATACAGGAGTCGGTATCTTTACATGTTGTACAGAGAAATCGGGAGGAGCTGGGGGTGTTTGTGTGAATGGACGCTGCTCAGAGCGCGGGTCACATCCCTGGGCAGCACAAGAAGGTCCAGAACAGGCTCTGGGGGAGAACAAACAATCCTTCTCCTCCTCTCCCGCCCCCGCAGGCAGCGCAGAGCTGCCAAGGCTCAGCACCCCTCGGGAACTGCAGCTCCAGAGTTTATCTGGATTCAGACCGATGAAGGGCTTGGGGAAAGCTCTGACACTGCCTCATCCAGGGGGACTTCAGTGTAACCTGGCAGAGCCCTTTTTCTGGATCTACACCTGTGAGAAGTGTTCCTTATAAATCCCCTGCGAACACCTCGTGTGTGTCCCCTCCTTCCCGGAAAGGAACATGTCAGGTGTCTGCACAAAATGACTTGGAGCTTGTCTAAGGAGAGAGGAAACCGAAGCCAGCTGGCATTTCAGCTTTAAATTGCACTTGCAATCCCTTTCTAGCACTGCCTTTAACCCTACAATGTTTTAATCCCCAGAACTTTTAAATAAAGTAGGGCCCAAGCTCAGTTCTACGTCTCAAAGCTGAGCCCTCTATGGACAGAGCACTTGGGCAGTGACAGTTGTCTCCAGCATAAAGCAGGAGCATTTTCTACCCATCACCTGACACATATCACAGAGCAGATCCTCATAAATGGAAAACTGAGGATTTACAGTAACAGACCAGCACATTCATATTTGGGAACTGTATCTATCTGGGTTCCACTGAGAACCAGAGAATCTAAATGGGTTGGAAGGGACTTTAAACTCATCTTGTTCTACCCCCTGCCATGGGCAGGGACACCTCCCACTAGACCAGGTTGCTCCAACCTGGCCTCGGACACTTCCAGGGTTGTGGCATCCACAACCTCCCTGGGCAACTTGGGCCAATGTCTCACCACCCTCACAGTGAAGGTTTTTTTCCTAATAACTAATCTAAACTTCCCCTTTCAGTCTGTCCCCATTCCCCCTCATCCTGTCACTCCAGTTCCTGATGAAAAGTCCCTCTTTGTCTTCCCTGTAGGTCCCTTCAGATCCTGGAAGGAGCTGTGAGGTCTCCATGCTTCTTCTCTTCTGCAGGCTGAGCAGCCCCAACTTTCTCAGCCTGTCTTAGAACAACCCTTAATTATCTCATTAAGGAGGCTGCTCCAAGAAATCTTAGAGGAATTCAAATAGCAGCTATTTAACATGAGATATTCAGAAATATTTACTTCGCCCTACCCAGAGATTTGTTCTGCTCAAACAGTGAAGTGGCTTGAACTCCTTTCTTCATCTCTAAACAGCTGCAGCTCACTAAAATCAGTGTCCCACAGGTCTTGTTCTGGAAAACATTTGCACCTGTGCCATGAGGGCCTTGGTCTGACTCTGCTCTGCTGTTTTCAGTGCAACTGAAGCAATGGCTGGACAGTGACCAGCTTCCCAAGCAATCCCTGTTGTACTTTACATCCAGAGTGAGGTGGAGTTTGAAAGTCTGTCAGTCTGGTTAAAGCACAACAGAGGTGATAGTGGATTTAGTAAGAGGTTCTCAAACAGCCCCTCTCTCCCTGAATCTTCCAAACGTGCATCAGCAACATTCAGGTCGTCCAAAGATGCCTTTTTTAATGTGCATTTTAATCTGACATTAGGCTTTAGGTTAGTAATTGAGCAGAGCACAGAGCAGGATGCTATTGGTTATGTCCCTCCATCCAAGAGGCAGTCAGAGCATTTTCCAGGTATTTCAGGCTGTTGTCACAGATTTCACTAAAGCTACAGTTTGGAAAGTAACATTAACCACTCTGGTCTTAACTCATTCCTTTGAAAACACGCTACTAGAATTTACAGTGGATTTCCAAATGGATTCCCTCTTCACTGTTTCAATTTCCCCAATAAAAGAGACAAGTGGGTCAACGGGGGCTCAATCTGTTTATTCTGCCTTTGAAGTTAAGCTTGTGGTCTCTGCAGGTTTGTCAGTTCCTGAGTGATCAGTGCTGGCTGCCAGGGAAGGGCCACCTCAGGATGTGCCTGCACTGCCAGGGCCGAGGGGCAGCACGGGAAGGGTGGAACGGGCACTTGGAAGACTCGCAGACTCGGTCAAAAGGAAAGAACAACCCTTGGGAAATACAAGCTCTGAATGTGAAGGATGAACTGAAAGCGCTATTGCCTGTGAGGAATTTTACTTTGCACAACCCTTAAAGCTATGAAATTCCTCTCAACATAAAAAGTGGAAAAAAAACCCACCAGAGAAGTGACGGCTCGTTTCGGAACCGCGCTGAGTCATCTAGAATTTCTGCTAAGATTAAATTACACCCCTGCATGAATCACATTACTTCTCATCATAAAAGCTTTCCATTCTAACACCTTATTTACACAGATTACTAAACGAGTCACTACCACTTCAATCTGTAAATTAGTTTTAAAATTGAAATATTTCCTAGTCCTCATTTTTGTACCGAAGACAATACATACATACACATAAGGAGTAATACAGGTTCTAACTAATCACTGCAGTATCTTCTGAGGATTATTTCTCTATCAGTTTAAAATAGTGACCTCTACACTGAGGTGCTAATATGTATATAAAAGCCTACACAAACAATATTGCACAAAGTAAGATTTATAATAGAGTAACATATTTTAGAGACCCTTATAAAGAGAAGAGTAATAATTGATATTAAAAAGATGCATCCAGAACTAACACAGCATCTTTGCTTTTGTCTAGTCTAACATAGTGTTTCAAATCTTTCCTACCCCAGTGAGGATTAGAACAAATAAAGTTATCTGGAGACAGCTTAAGTTGCACCAAAACCCAACTTGTACTCTAGATGTGGGGGAGGGAGAGGGAAAAGGGACAGGACTTTTCCTTTTGATGACTGGAAAGGGCAGTAATAAATGGGGTGAGTGAAAGTCAAATACAGATTACACATCAACATCCAGAAATATTGAAAGATTGTTTAAAAACTGTTGATAGCTGACACTCTACACACTGAGCACGTGCCACTGATTTTTCCACAGTAACTGGGTGCCCAGGAGCTACACATGGAAAAAGCAGTCCAATGCCATAATACTTTTTATTTGTGAAATACTAATACAGAACTTACACAGTAAGGCTGTCCTTATTCTAGGAAGTCAGGTATCAACTCAATGCTTATTATATTAAGTGCATCAGTACAAGGGAAAGTGTGGATCCATTGGACACGTTACGACCCGATCAAAACAAGCTGCCAAGTTGGTTAAGTATTTTAAAGCCTTAAAGTGCTCAAAGATAGCAGTTTCCTCCACAAGACTACCAGTAGGTTCTCTAATTTTGACACTAGTATTTACCACGTTCAGGGAAGATGTATTTTGGAAGCAAAAACCCTCACACCAAACAACATAAGCAGTGCTATGAGAAGTGTTAGGTCAGTAAGTCATTGCATTTCAACAGGATCAGACACTTGCTTCAGTTCACTTTACAGGTCACCCTTGTAGGAACTGTGAGAAACATCAATTTCTATAGCTTGTATATAAACCAACATGTCAAGAACAGACATACCAAAAATTCCACAAATCATCAAAAGTGCTGTGCTTTCTCTATTTTTTTCTTTTCTTTTTTTTTTTTTTTTTACTTTTTTTTTTTAAGCAATTAAAATGGAGATGGAGAAGTCACTTTGCAAGTCTTCTACAAAAGCATCACTTTCTGGTGAAGATTAGAGATAAAGTAAAAGTAGGGAAATAACACTGACCAATGGAGTTCAACCATTTCACGTTCCTGGAGGAATTTCAATCTGACTTTGAGAAGATATTCAACATCTCTTTACTTAAACAGAAAGAAGTGGTAGACCACTGTTACAGGTTGTACTAAGGGGTTAAAATACAACTTGAATTTTGCATAATCTGTGTAAAAAAGATATGCTTGACATTTTGGAATGTCACCTTTCTTTATAGAATTATAGGCAAGATTTCTCCAATAAAACATAAGCCAGTTATAAAACTATAACTTCACATCAAAATTTTAAAAAGTTGTTAAAAAAACATTTGATTATATACATATCACACAGAAGAGCCTGCATGATCCTGTGGATTGTGTTGCTGATCAGACTCTATTTTAAAACCTGGAAGGGGCTGGGCCACCTGATCTGGTTGCACAAGTCCTGATATTGAAGAAACAGAGGAGGAGAGCACCCCTGGGGTAAGCTGGACTTCTATACCTGGGTCTTCAGACTCTATTTTTACACTCACACCTTGGGGTTCACCTTCTGCCTCTGTCTTTCCAGGAATATTACTGTTGAGGCTTGAATTGCTGTCTGCATTTGGAGAATTCTCCCCCACCACGGGGTGATACTGTTTAAGTCTGATGTGCCAGGCTAAGCTGCAGACTGCTGACACTGTTTTGAACTGATGAATGACATTTCTAGGGATGAAGTAGATGTCATTGTCACACAACTGAATTCTAGCATAGCGAATGCCTTCCCGTCTCATTTGGTTTAGTTTGGCTTCGTCCACCCACTGAACACACTGGGAGAAGGAGAGATGGGAAAGTTAGTGGTAGACTCTTCAAACAGTTCAAGTATCCTCCTATTTTCAACTTAATTCATGTCTAAATCAGAATGTTTCTGTTTCGTGGGTAAAAATTCGAATTTAACTGAGGATTGGATGTTTAAAGCACAATTTAGCCAATGTGCACATCTTGGGAGAGGAGAATGAAGAGGATTCTCTGGTTACAGTTGAAAACAGTAGATGTGACATGGGCTGACATGGGCTGCATTGTTTGGGCTGACAGGACTGAGCTGAGATGTCTCCACCTCTTAAGACAACATCAGACATTAGAAAAAGCAGGAACAGGCACTCATGACCTCTTAATCAACAGATTGTTTCTACAGCACATACTGTGACTCACAGCATAAATCCCAGCTTAGGGGAAAGGAAAAGAAAAAAGGTCCCTTCCAACTGAACTATTCTATCCTGAAACACAAGGAAATTGCCCAAGAGAGTGAGAACTGGGGATACAAAAGGGCTGGCTGTAGAGAGAACCTGAGATCTGCCAGAAACTACTCCCAGAACACTAAGAATGAGCTGCCACGAGGGAAGATCCAATACCTGTGACACTGGAGGTTCATGTAGGTCCAGCTGAAGTCTCTGCACAACATCAGTGAAGTCTTCAGCATGAAAGCAAACCACATCTTTGGTTATACGAGGCTGGTCACTCCTAGAAAAGATGAGAATTCCAGGAATTTTTAGAGAATTTGAATTACAGCTCTTTCCAGCAGAAAGTTTCACTGAACCAACAACCTTCCTCAGTTCTACACTGTGCACAAATTCTCATCACTTCTCAACACATGTATTTTGAAAAAGGGGTATAATTCACAGATTTCTCTTTTTTCTCCACTTCTTTCTTGCTGCCTTCACACCAGAAGTGATGTTTTCAGGGACAATATACCAAAATGATCAAGAGCTAGGTTCTAAAGTTCTCTGTGTTCTAGGAACCACAATTTGCCTCAATTCTTCCATTTTATAATTGGACAGAATAATTCTGCATTAAAGGAAAAATGTAAAATAACCAAGTAACTCTGCAGCTGAAGCAACGAGGAGCTGGATTTTATTCAGCAGCTGTGAACCAGAGTGAAGGAAGTCCTGGCACCTTTTATTCATACAAAAATCTAATGATATTGCTAATGATGCAATCCAATTCCCACTGTAATTTCTGGCAATTACAGTGATGCAAGTCTAGTTTCTCTGCAAGGTCACCAGCAATATCCTGGGTACATGACCTGAGAAGGCACTGCAGCTGTGAAATTAATTACACTGAGTTCTTAGATTACTGCTACAGAAGCTGGAATTAATACACCTGCTCAGGAAATGAACTATCAGGGATGATGGTCCAGGCATGGTATTTTAAGGCTTTTATATATCACTAAAATATTCTGCAAACTGCTGTTGCAATCTTTTAATGCCTCAAGAGGGGGAAAATAGCAGGTACACAGCTTGTGGTTTCCAGCGCTAGGCAGCTTTTATCTTATTAGATAAAATCAGATTTCTGATTGGGCTTGTTTTCTAAGGAATTTTTTTTTTTTTTTTTAAAGAGAAGGTGTAGAAGAGCTGCATTCCAGCAGCACTTACCATTCCCCAAACTGCACAGCCTTCAGGACCCCGACAGCAGCCGTGCTCTGCCAGTCAAAGCCTTGCCCCACGTGGTCGGCGTGAGCTCTCGTCCTGTCCTCAAACAGGACCTCGCGGGGCTCGCTGGTCCGAGGTAGGTACTGCAGGTTCTTTATCTCGTTCATTGACCTATAAAGTCATAAAAACACACACTGGAAAACGTTTCAGACTCCCCAGAAATAAATATTTGTGTTAATGTCATCTGAAATGGGTGCTGAAGGCTTGAAAAGAACAAAGCGCTTCCCTCCGATTTCTTCGCGGTTTCGTTTTGACCTTTTGCTGAATAAAACCAGCAAAGTACAATTCAGGTTATGAGATCAAACTTCATAAAACAAATCCAATCACCCACGCTGGAAGAATTCCTCCAGGAATTTAATGGTATGTAAAATAGAGCTATCTTAATAGAACCTGAACTTCATTATTTGGGAGTACATCAAAAAATCCTCCCTGAAATGACAATTAAAATATGCTTCCAAGTCTCCTGAAATTTGTTCTTTTTCTGAGAAATATGTAAGTACACCCCAATATTTCCTGAGCAGGCAGACAGTACTACAAGTGCTTTAGCACTAACATTAAAATGCAGCACGAGCAGTGTAAGGATCTCAAAAGCTGTTTTAGAGCTGCCCTCACCACAGAAATAAGATGAATAAAATAAGCCTCCTGAAGGATAATGAAAGAGGTTTTTAATCTTAAAGAAAGCACTGATCTAGGACATAAAAGTGTTGAAAGAAGATAACCATCACAAGCAACATTTGTTTTATCAGCTGAGCCAATTTGAAACAAAAACGAAAGTGAAGCTTAAATCCGAATTAAGTCACCTGAAAAACCAGTTACACATCAAGTACTTTGCTCTTGTTCTCAAATCTAACACAGACACAACTAAAATGGTTTTCTTCTCTCACTCGAGGCAAACCAAGAGGCAAACCAAGAGGCAAACCAAGAGGCAAACCAAGAGGCAAACCAAGCCTTACCGGCGCCGTTTGAAGGGTGATTTTGGCATATCAGCTGTGGGGATCATCTGCTCTCCTGGTCTCACCCACATGATGGGCCCGTCATCGCTCTGGGACCTGCACTGAAGTCTGAGACTAGAAAGAGTCCCCCAGGGCAGAGTCATCTAAAAAGAAAAAGAGAAAACAAAACAACCCACAAAACACACATAACACAAAACACTGGGTGAGATAGAAAAGTTAAATGACGCCTTTGGTAAAACTGGTTCAAATTTGCTGTCAAAAGAATTGCATAGAAACTAAATAAGTTTGAGAGGCAAAATATACTCTGAGCTAACTTTATCAAATTCAGTCTTCAGGGAAGCAGATAACCATGTAGTGCATATATATGATAAACTATATTTTTTTAATTGTTCACACAATTGTAGCTACATTATTCCATACCTCTCAACTGGACACAAGAATGAACCTCAGTAGCCCAAATAAGCACATCAATAAAGAAAACACCTTTTGGTTTCTAATGACTTTGAAACACGTGAAACCTAGTAATTGCTTAAATATCTACAGTGCTCCGAACAAACCACAAGTTGCTGCTTACTCTAAGAAATGGAGATTCTTCCAACATATCTAGAAATTCTGGGAAGTAGTCCCCCACTTCTTCATCCACGGCTCCGACCAGGCTGATCTGCCGCATGGGTCCTGCTCTGTAGGTGCCACAGCAGTACGTCCGATTGACCTGGGGGCCCAGAGAGGAAACACAACACCAGCACAGCTTTAGTTCTGCTGCAGGAGAGTCAAACCGACTAACACAACACACTGGGCCACAGCTGGACTCATCTACCTCTGTTTCAGTAGCTGTGCCCTTGGGAATAGGCACAGGGATTGTTTGGAACACGTGCCCACGGGGCATCCCGAGAGAAACAACTCCTGCCTGCACTCCTGACAGGAAATCCTTCTCCAGTTTGAATAACAGCAAGTGAGTATTTGACTAATTCAGGAACAATTCAACACTTCCAGGCTGACTTGAGAAAACAACCACACAAGGTTTCCTTGTGACTCAGTCTTTCACCAGCAGGCTTCAGCTCTCCCCTAGTTTGTGCAGCTGACTGTTGTTTCCACATTTCAAACCGGTTGCCCCTGGAATACACACACTCTTCATTCCAGTCTTGTCCCAGAGGTCCTTCCCCTGGGACTGCTGTGAAAAATCTCAGTGTCCCTCATGCAGTGGCCCTGGTAATGTTGTTATAACGTATACACAAAACTGGACAAGAAACTAAGGAAACAAGAGGTTTAGCCAGAAACCCAGTGCTCATGAACAACTTCAGGATAACCATCAGCAGCAGAACCTGCTGCCAGTGCTGTGGCCAGAAATGCTTTAATCTCACTTACAGCCCTTGGACATCCTCTGCAGCACACACTGTCCCACTTTCCAAGGGCAGCTGGAAATTCTTCTTACCAATTTCCTGTTCCTGGAGGAGAACCCCTGGCAAGGCTCCAGTGTTCTCCAGCCTCATCCTATGGCCTGCAGCTCTAAATCCCACATGGCCACAGAGCAGGTTCGATGTAGATACCACAGGTATTTGATGTTATAGAGCAGAAATGGTGCCATAATTAGTCTGTTTTGCACACTCAGTTGTGTTTGAGCCCCAACCTTCCCTCTGTGTTCGAGTGCTTCCCGTGGTGAAAAACTCCAGCTGTTCTCCAGGGCTGAGTGGTGGGACAGGGACAGAGGATTACTGCTAAATTGGCAATTTTAGTCATGTTCAGAATGTGTGATGCCTTTTATAACTAACTCTATTTATAGATATGTGGATGCAGCAGCTTAGTTTGAAGTTTAGTTTCAGTTTTGCATGTTTAATCGACAAACCAGATGTTATTAAATTACTCCATGAGGTTGCTAAAGGTAAATTAGGAGAGACTAATTAGGGAAAAAGAGAGTTACTGCTGCAATTTTATTCTCTAGCAGCAGCCATAGATATTTAGGTTTTTAATTACAGGAGTTTAGCTCACTCTACTCACTGAATGCAGCTCAGAGCAGGAGCACTGGAACACCACAGCAATATTTCAGTTCTGTGCACATACAGGAGAACTAAGGACTGAAATGTTCTGGTCCTTAAATCAGCAAAGTTTAACTGCCTGGCACTTTTTCTGTGACCACTTCCAGATGAGATCTGCTCTACTGAAACCACCTGTTGAGGGTCACTAGTATTTCACAGGTGTTTGTCACAAGTTAAAATGAATTATGATTCCATATGCAGTTTTTCCTTGTAATGTTTTCAAAGGAAATGAAAAACTAGAAGCTTTAAGTTTGGAGGGTTTTTTTTAATGCACTGGAACACAATGAGGAAAAAAAAACCAGAAGAATTCAAGAGTTATAAAGGGAACTGTAGAAATACTTCAGGGAAATATTGGATTTCAATGTTTTGGTAGGTTTTAATAGAAATGAAATACATTTACTGGAGAATTAAAACCAGAATTACTGTTGTGTAAGGACCATGGTGCCCTTTCAAATGCCACACTACCCTGTGTATCCCCTGCTCCACACACTCCACACTGACAGTGAGTTACAAGCATGTTTAAAATTAGCTCTTCAGTGCTCAGGGAGACATTTTCTTGCAGCTGCCTGATGTGCCTATCAGTGTTCCCCACACTTGGGTGAGAACAGGAACAGACAGCACCAGTGTTTCCTGTCCAAATCACAAAGCTGGTATTTATTTGCATGTCCCTGAGCCACCCCAGCCCCTGCCCTGCCTCTCCAAGGGTTAAGTGAGCAGCAAAACCCCAAAGGGTGAGAAGAGGACACACAGATGAGGCATCAGCTGGAGACAAACGAGGTTAAGTCTCAGAAGTCTCTCTCCAGTTGCAAGAAAAGCACGAATGAGTTGACAGTGCCAATATTTCAACATGCCAAGTCAGCTATAAATCCAACCACACAAACACTTGGCTGCAAGGAAGAAAGCAGGAGCACAAGGGGGTTACTACTGACATCAGAGGGACAGGGCAGTGACATGCCAGCACAGCAAGGGTGACATGTCTAACTACAATGTGACATACTGCAGCCAGAGCACTGGGCATTGGTTATGTGGCTCTAGTGACAAACTACATGAAGTTTGCAGCACAGATGCAAAATTTCTCCACTTCACACTTTGGTAGCTTCTGCTAAAAAAAAAAAAAGGAATTGCCATTCCAGAATAAGAGAAGCTCACGTGGGGGAGACAACCAAACTGTGGTGTGGTTCATTAACCAAAGCTGTCAGGAACAGAGGAATCTTTTCTGACAGCAGAAATAGGAAAAATTCCCCAGTTATCACCTGTTGGCTGCTTCTCCCCAGAAGGAACAACAGGTTATGCAAAACCTACTTCCCCAGCTCTTTCCTGGCCTCTTCCCAGAACCCCCACTCCTCTGTGACAGTCTAACTCTCCTTTGGATCACAGAAAGAATTCAACAGGCAGCTGATCAGGTTTTTCTTGGGGGAAAAAAAAGTAGAAGTGTTTTTTAAGTCTAAATATATTCCAATTCACTGAGTAGAACTGGAAGCAGTTGTACTGAAGCAAGTGATAAGGAAAATGAGAGTTCATTCTAGCTGCAAAGCTAAGAGCTTCCAAATTAAATTGTGCCCTTATGTGAAGGAAGCTTACAAAGTACTGCTCAGTGATTTGAGTCTTTAAAGCTTGTAGCCCAAGTGAACAGCTCCAAACTAAAGCTCAGCTTCAGTACTAAAGTAGTAGAACCAATGGGAGCCAATGCAAGCAAAAAATGCAGAAGACATTTAAGTGTAATTATTTTAAGATTCTGAAAACAAACATTTATGTTCCAAACACATACTGGAGTGCTTGTTATAAACTCACTGCCCCGAGAACAAAGGAATTCCCCTGGCAAGGCAGTTAATTATCACCAGACTTTTATCAGTTCTTCCAGATTAAAGTCCTTATTTTGAACTGGAAACACTTCCTACTAAAATTCAGTTTCTCTGAAAAGGTACATAGAACAGCTTAATGTTCTGTAAGCCAAAGGTCACATTAACTTGCAGTTTACAGATCAAATCTTAATTTCTTGAGACTGAATCTAATGCTCCAAATCCCCTCACCACAGGACAGGTCAGTGCAGCAAACAAGCTCATGCACAGAGAAGAAACCCAGAACGGAGGTGACTTCATTATCTTCAATTAAAAATAATCAGTGTTACAGCACACAACAGTGTAACGTGCTTAATCTGCAAAAGCATAACTACAAAGTGCTTTTGTGCTGAACAGTTCTCACACAGAAAGGTCAAAAGTGAAGCCTGGCCAGCCTGTTCATTCCTCAGTGGTGCTGCTGAGGAGCAGCACAGGCAGGCTGATCCCCCCAGCTCTCTCTAGCAGGGCATTGTGGCCTTCTCCATTTCCAGAGAAGCCAGCCTGCAAAACCTGGGTGAACCCAGCACCCATTTAAATGCTTCCTTAAACTCAACCACCACGTGTATTCCCTGCAGAGCCCCTTTCCAGCTGCCTGTGACAGCTCCTGTGCTGTTTGCTCAGTGAACAGCAATAACACACTTCAGCCAGAGAGGATTAACCAGGTCATGCTGGAGCTGGGTTTAGAGAAGTGGTTTAGACCAACTGAACCTTCTGTCATGACTCAATCTTAATCAAGTTTAGACAGTACTTAAAATAGAATTAATTGAAGTACCAGCACAGATTATAACCAACAAAGCCTCTTATTTATTACCATACATTCCTCACGTGTATTTATAGTACCAGGACTCATGTTCACAGGACATTCACTGAGGAAAAATGCAATTGTTAAATAGCCCAGTGGCTCTGTTAAGCCATTTTAGTGGTCACCACATGCACTTGAGTTAGAATGCAATCACGACACCAAATAACACAGACATATCACTAATCCTGAAGACTTTAAAGCCCAACCTGGGGACAGGTTTCACATCTGCAGCACTCAGGTGTGTACAGTGCACCCGTGCTCCTGCTCATAGCAGAGATTATTTTGGGGTACTCTGCACTCTGACAGCTCTGCCAGCACCAAGAGTTACTTAGACCAAGAAACAGAGGCTGGTTAAAATAAGTGCAGCAGCAGCTACTCGTTGTCAAAGAAATTCATAAGCCAAATGTCAGAATGATTCATTTAATGGTATTCAAAGACTCCACAGTGACCATGCAGGAACTTGCTGCAAAGCAGTAATTGTTTTTCCAATGCAAATCTTGCTTATAAGCATTTGGTAAACCCTGGAGAGATCCAAACAGCCCATTCACAAGCATTAACATTTCCAAATCTGTTGCTAAAGGTCTGTTCCTATAGTAGGGAAGTGCACTCCACTACAGAGTTTCAGATTTATCCTTCCAACAGGTGAACCAGTAAATGTAATTAATGTCTTGAATAAAGAGTTTAAGAGTAATCAGCAGTTTGAATCCGTTCTCAGACTAAACAGAAAGAAGCTTTATTCCATCTAAAATAAATTTATCTAAATTCTAATCTTGTTGTATGTTCATAGATATTTCTGAATTTGATCACAAGACTAAAATCCAATGGGTTTTCACACAGGAATCTTGAAATTAGCTTAGTTTTCACTGTTGCATCCATTTAAGTTACATGGAGATACAGTTTCAGAATCTAAGCTAGTTTAAGCCTACTATGGAAACCAGGGTAATACATAAAATGAAAGTCCAAGGGAATTAAAAAGATACCTTTAACTACTTCCAAATTAGGAAGTCTAAACACCCAACATCAGCTGCTGATAGAATTAAGATGTTTAAAAAAAATTGTGAATGATATACTGAAACCTGAGAAGTAATGTCATTGCAAAAAAAAAAAAAATTAAAAAAAAATTAAAAATATAACCCAGATCTATTGAATAAAAAAAAGGTGTTAGCATTTGCAGTCTTTGCAACTCTTGATACAGACTTGGCTGTTGTTTTGAACAATCTCAGTGTTTTCCCACGTTTAGAAGAAAGAGATGATCAGTGCAGATCTTTCCTCAGGTCACAGATAGCAGTGTCTGAGGTGTGAATCATCAACTACCAGTGAGCTTTTAAGCAGAAACAGGAATAAACATCACAGTGCACACGGCTTTTTCATCTGCTCAGAACAGGAATTTGTGACTCACGTATTTTAAGCCAGCCCTGCTCTGGATTAATGAGATTAATCAAACCTAGGTGCTGTGTAACTTTTATGCCCGTAAACATTTCTTACCTGAGAATGAAAATTTGAAATTGTTGTTGTTTCAATGTCCTTCTTGCCCAAAATTTCCATTTTCACTGGAGTGTTAGGAAAGTTAAAAGCAAAGTAATCCAGGAAGTCTGGTAAATAAGCAGCTGCTCCGTGTACTATGGCTAAGGCATAGTAAGCTGCATTTTTATCATTTTCACTGAATGACAACGCAAGAAACTCTTCTGCAAATCTCTCCATCTCCACTGGAGACAAAAATGAGAGTTCATCCATGTAGGCATGCAGGACCAGAGCACCTCCATTGGACTGGTGTTCCTCGTGAATGAAGTTACTAAATTTAGTGCCAGTTTTCAGGAAGCTGCTGCGAACAGAGTGCTCCTGGTGTGTCACAAACGGTGTTTGTACTCCCTGGGGTACCCGATACTCCTGCATCCCCAAATTCAGTCTGCACAGCTGCTCATCCTTCAGGTACCTGAAGGATTCCTTGCTCATTTCCAAGCTGTCACACTGTCCTTGAGACAGAGTCTCTTTGTCGATGCGGGTGAGCCCGGCGCACACGGTCTGCACTTCTTTGTTGTACATCTTCAGGCGTTTCCCCCTCACATCTTCCCGGTGTTTCTTTTTCTTTTTTTTCTTTATCTTCTTCATAATAAGACTGTCAGCTCGCTGGGTTTTGCCATTTTCGTCTGGAGTTTCTGGCAGCAACAATAAAGAGAAGATCAGAGTTCTGCAGTTGCAGCACATTCACCCCAAAAGAATCCAGCCCCCTCACTTGAAGTGATCTGACCAGTAGTAATACTCTGACTTTTGACTTGGACAACCAAAAATGCAGTATTTCTAGTACTACACAAATAAAGACTCAAGCTTAATATTTTAGAAATATTTCCATTTTAAACAGATTTATTAGAATGCCTTTAAAAGGAGTCTGTGTTTCAGGACATCTATAATTAAGTACATTAATAACTTCTGACATTTAAGGCAGTGCCACGCAGGGGAAGAGGACAAACAACATGTGTAACATTTAAGACATCAAGACTTTCATTACAGAACATTTCCCTGATTTTGGACACGGGATATAGAAGCAAAACAACACAGCTGAAGAGGTACAAGTGTTACTGACATTTAGGAGGTAAAAATATTTAAATCCTAGACTGTTGATCTTTTGAATTAAGGGACCCAGATCATCACATCCACAGTTTCAGCTATCTGCTGCTAGTCTTATAGTTAATGCAGAGAGAGAAATTTGGGGGTTTCTTTAAGGTTAATCACCCTGTAAAAGCCTGAGAGGTAAAATGTAAAGAAGTAGCTCTGGTAGGCAAAATGTAATAGTTTAAGCCGCTTATCTTTCAAGAATAAAAACTAATTTAAATGACATTTAGCAAGTGACAAAGGTAGTTAGAAAACTTGATGCTCCAGCTCTTAAAAACTCAATTGCCAAGACAAGATTTTAATGTGCCTGAATCAAATAACTATTTCATCTCACAATGCCCATAAATCTCTGTTACCAGGATAGCCACGGGAATCAGAACAACCTGCTGCTCAAGGCAGCACCCGACCAGAAGGTGCAGTAGCTAAAGCTGCAGTTTTCCCCTCAGCACAGGGGGGATTTTTAACAAAATTCCCTTTCCTGGGCTGCAAATTCGTATCCTTCTCTTGTAACACTTGAGGTTACAAGGAAAAACCATGTTACGCTGCTCTATGAGAAAGGGGGTCATGATAAACACACACAGCTCCAAGTTCTTCAGTGCAGCCCCAGTGATTAACCAGATCATTACTGGTTTGGTCTCCAGAGCTCCTTACTGGGGATGGGTGACCTTCCTAACAGCCTGGTGGAACAGCAGAATTACTCACAGAGCAAAGAAAGAGTCGATTGCTTAACACTCACTCCATACAATAGTCTTAGGACCTGAAATACAAGTTTTCACAGTGCTGCTGTAGCCTTTACAAACGGCAAAGGCCCTGATTTTTTTTCTATTCCAGCCAGGGAAACCAGGAAGAGCAGGGTGGTATCACTTGTTTTGGGAAGTCAACCAAAACAGTTCTTGGAATGAGGTTTTCTGCAAGACTCGGAAGTGAAGTGCACGAGGTTGCTCAGTACTGAGCTCTCGAGTCCAGGCACTGCTTCTCTCACTGCAGTGAGCACACGAGTCACACACAGGATCTTTGTTCTGGTGGGACCAGAGATTCCAAGCTGGAACTAAACAAGAATTTTATGCCACTGAGCTGTTGGTAATATTTCCCTATAGATGTTTCTAAGAATTTTTGGTTGTAAAAGGTATCTTATTTTAAGCATTTCTGATTGTAGATATCGCTTGAAAATCCCACACGTGTGGTAGTTTTAATTCAGAGTATCTGCCTGTTTGAAGCTATTCCCTAACAGCAGACAGACACTGAGGAATCTTTGCATTTGGGAGCTTCCAGTGGTCTATCTTCAGGATAAAAGCTGCCCTGGCTGCTGCTGGATCCACTGAACACAGCAGAGTCCCACCACCACAGTGAGAAACCACTGCATTAAGTGAAGCTAAACACTGACATTACGGGGAACATAATGCCTGACAATCTTGAGGGAAATATAGGTTTAATTATTCCTTTAAATAAACAGAAAGCCCACAGTACCTCAAACATGAAAAAAAAGCTATGGCCAGGTCACTAAACTATGGGCTCAGCAGCGAGGCCAAGTGACAGCAGTGCCAATAACTCAGCCACTCTAAAATGATTAGAAATCATGTAACTGAACACACCAGCACCACTTTTAAACAGCAAAAACAGGGGGGGTGTTCATTGTCACCTGAGGCCACAGATAAGCACAGTACAGTCAGTGTAATAGGTAGTTTAATTAGATTATACATCAAAATAAAAACGGATAGTCAGGGAAAGAAACCCAGCCCCTTCCTGAAAACCACAACACGTGCAGCTGAGGGCAAGCAGTGAAGAGCTTCAGATTAGCAAACAGCTTTCCTTTGCAAATCTGGAATTTTGATGCTCATTTTCACACTGTTTGAGCCCTCATTAAAAGAGGCCTTATTTAACTCTGGGTTAGAACTGACACAGTGACACTCCAGCCTACAAGGACACACTGCTTCGAACTCTAGCCTGATAAATATTGATAACACTGCAGAAGTTTACAATCCAGTAGCTTTTACAGCCATTATTCAAGTACAGTGGAGTAGAAGCATTAGCCAGCAGAGAAAAAGTCTCTCCTAGTAACAGTTTTGACCATTCTTAAGACAGCCCTATCCAGAATTTACACTACAGACCTGACTCCTGTAAGCACGTGGATCTTTGGTTTCTTTGGCACAAAACCTTCACATACTCTCCAAAAGCATAATTCACAACATAGTATTTTTATTACAGCAGCTTTTGCAGTTGCTTTTTACCTACGTTGCTCTCACTAAGAGGCTTTTACTACAATAAATTTTGCAAGCTGCACCAGAAGAGTCATTCTGTGCTGTTAAAAAACAAAACACAAACCAACAAACCAAACAAAAACACACCCACCACTCACCAAAACCCAGAGATATTTTGATCTTTCTATTAGAGAAGTCACAGATTTGTTAGGATTAGAAGGGACCTCTGGAGATCATCCAGACCAAGGCAGGGTCACCTGGAGCAGGTGACACAGGAACTCATCCAGGTAGGTCTGGAATCTCTCCAGAGAGGAAGACTCCACATCCTCCCCGGGCAGCTGTTCCAGTGCTCTGCCACCCTCAGTGTAATGAAGTTCTTCCTCATGTTAAGGCAGACCTTGTTGTCTTTTAATTTATGGCCATTGCTCCTCATCCTGTCACTAAAAAGAGTGTGGCACCATCCTCTGACACCCCTTATAAATATTGGTAGGGGTTGATGGGATCCCCTCTTACTGAAGAAAATAAATAATAATAAATTAAAAAATCCAGCAGACTACCAGCTCTAGCATACGTTACTGGACACACGGAGGGAAGAACGCTTCGCTCCCGCAGCCGTTGCTGTTGCACCTGCGATGAGGGCGCCCCTGACAGCAGCAGCCCCGGCAGCCCCAGGACC